CAAAGTATGCAAGTGGCGACCGGAGGCGATGGAAGCTTCTTGCTGCTGCTGCCTTGCTACACGCTTGAATGTATAATTTTGCTTGTAAGCGATCTCGAGCGTCGTCGGATGCGAGGGATTAATATCGCCAACTTTGACGACTATCTTTGATGCCATACTGATGCAAACAGGTGAATCTGCCGTCTAACCCAGACGGAAATTTATTCGAGGTAATAAGCATTTCTTTTGAGCGTGATTAAAAACAAAGTTTCACTGAGAAATATTTGCGCTCTAGGAAATAAACACACAATACAAATATGATAATATATGAGTAGTAAGTAGGTGTGTGGGTTAAACCAGCGCAAGGTATAAAATGAGCGAAAACAATTTCGTTTACCTTATAACTTTAGCGTTAACTCTAGGTAGCAATTTCTCAGCATTTACGAACTTTTCCTTGGAGCATTTTAAGTTTATTCTGTTTTATTTTTGTTCGGGAAATTCTACTGCTGGTGCGTCGGTAGTTGGTTCTGTGTTTGTTTTTCAGCGATTTTTTGCTTTTGTTTTTTCGACTGCGGAAAGCACGGTTTTAAACGAGGATGAATTTACGTCATGAATTAAAGTAAATTGCCTCATTGCGGATGGCTGTGAAGATAAAAGCGTAATTTGTATTGCTCTATAACTGCTCGTAAAGCCGCTGACTGCACACTGCGCATTTTTGTGGTCTATAAACCACAAAAACAACAAAAAAAAACTTAAAAACATGAGAAACATGGAAGAAAAGTGCTCATTTTTTAGAGATAAAACAAAAAATAGAAATAATGTTTTGGCCATCTGTGTTTGCTTTAATAATACAATTAATTTAGGTTGAAATATAACTACAGGAATATTTTTTAGAATAGCAGTTTTCCAGGATAACACTGAAGGTCCTTTATTCTAAATGAGCCGTTTTACAACAGGTGGCGCTATAAATTTTGCAGAAATCTACTTTTCGGTAGTATACATTTTCTTCTACCACAAAATTGATACTTCTACTCCCTTTTAGACAGCGCCACCGTCTGCATCCCTAAATATTTCTTACATCCAAAATTAAATGTTTCCTGTTCAATTATTTCTGATTAGTTTTGAATTTGTTCTGAAATTTCTTACTAATAGCTTTCTACTAATGAATTGTTGTCGTCTGGTAGCATTGTCACTCCACGTTTCTTATTTTGCGTCGACGGAACGCAAATTTGCATTTGCGCCAATTAGGTGGGCGATAATTAATCTAATTTTCATTTTCTGCGTCATGCCGCACGCGGTACTAAATCTGTTTACGATTTTACCAACATAATGTTTCAAAAATTATGAGAGATAATAAATGGAAAATGCAAATGTACTCGTAAATGTATGAATATAAAAGAGTTAGGTATAATTTTGCGAGAGGTAGGTATTCAGCTAACTTTTTGCAACGCTTGTTTGATTAGTTCTAATTTGTTGCGGGTAGTTTTTGCTGGAATATTAATATTCAGTTGCAAATTTACATTGCTTGTATGCAAAGTTTCTTTTAATTAACAGAAAAAGTTTTTAATTTATATCAAAATAATTTATATTAACTGAATATGAAGGTTGGTTTATATCTTAAATGCTATGGTAGCAAATTTTGGTAATAATCTATTAGTATATCTATAATATAAAAGTGAATCACAAAATTTGTTGGAAAACGCATAACTGATAGTTAAAGTCCAAGGATGGTTTTAACGGCGAGAAAACTTCGAAAAATTGCCGGGAAAACCCTAAAAACAGCCCTTTTCTATAGGATAAAAGTTGGCATTGAGATTCAATCATTGTTATAGTTAAATAGTTGAATCCGAGATGACGCGCTGAAGTGCATTATTAGCAATTCTTTTATAATTAATTTCATTAAAATAAAATTGCGAATCTTATTGATAGAATTGACACATACTATGTCTAGAACAAGAGAGTAAAAACGAATTACATTTTTATTAAACACTACCGGGACGAAGTCGCGGGAAAAAGCTAGTTAAATAATACATTTCGCAATTATATATTTTTGTGTGTTTTGGTAGCGTAATATTCAATTTTCTATAACAAAAACGAAATCCTTTTGTTTCTTACTGCGCATAGCCGCAACATTAAAAAAAGGAAAACTCTTACGTGTTAGTAATAAATAGCTGTCTTTTTTCTTTTGACGTCTTTATCTTGGTTCTTTTTTCGGTTATTCTTTTCCGCCTTTTGTTTCGTCCTTTTTTCGCACCACTTGTACGAGTTTTTGGGCGATAATACCGCCGTGAACGTGTAAAATGCGCTCAGCGTCGCAATCGTCTCGCGGTCGTCGTCTCTGGCGACCGGCGAGAGTAACACGCAACCAATTTGAAAGCCTTCCGGGCTTATTCCTTGTTGCGCTCGTCCGACCGCAACTCGCATCGGTTTCCACCTACATTTCCACCAACAGCTCAAACTGTATACCCACCATTGAACGTGTAGGTGGGTTTTTCTTTCTTTCGCCTAACACACCGGCTCGTTCTTTCTTTTTAGAGACGGTCGCGCGGTGGTATTTTCTGTTTAGCCGTCGGCAAGTTTGCGTATTTCACTTTGCGTACGGTTTGAATTTGCTCGAAAACGTGAATTCCCAAAGTGATGTGTGGAAAAGATGCAAATTAAGTTGAATTATTACACTCGGGGCGCAGCTGCACCGCTATGCAATGGCACAGAAATGAAAATGCCTTTAAGACTTTTATAAATAAGTTTAGACTTTTCAAAAGGCAACGCAAAATAAAACGATGCGATTGTACGCGTTTTTTTCAAGGAATGCAAGAATTAAACTTGCAAATTTCCAACTAAATACACGCTTAATTATTAATTAACGTAAGAAAATTTTTAATTATTCCTGTCATTACATCACTTTTCATAGCAAGTTTTAATTGGACATTTTTCATACTTTTTATACTCAATTCAAGTTTGTATGCTTAAATTTCGATCGTGGCATTTTGTCCACGACGTTGTCGTCGATCTAGAGCGAATCACATTTATTATTTACGTTTCCATCTACTTAACTCTCACCCTTCAATGTGGACCCGCCCTTTCGTCTTGGGGAGCAAAATCAAAGCGAGTCTAATTTTAGTGGTTGTAGCGGTTTTAGTGGTTCTAGTGGTTTTTGTTAAAATATTGATACAAATTAATGCTCGAAAACTACCCTTAGTCATACGTAATTCGCTACACGCATTTTGTGATGCATACCTACCGCATGGGGTTAACATTTGTCGCGTTGTTGTTGAATGGGCGTACATGAAGCTGATTGAAATGTCGCACTCGTACGTTTTCCACCCGCTATGCCGCACATTTGCGGTTTAGAGGTTTCGACTGCCAGCGTCGTTTCCGTTTGGAGATTCTCTTTACATTTCTACCGCATTCACGGGGTCTATAGGTCATATAAAGCTAGTAAGTGCGGTTTCCAGAAGAAGTTACAATCAATCAGTCAGGCTAAGTGTTAAAGAGGAGATCTAGAAGGTTATAAATCAAATGAAAATTAAATTACAAATAAAATTTATTTTTTAAAATTTTATGGCTATTAAATTATAGATGGCGCTAGTTGGAAAGAGGTACAACTGTATAAAATGTATGCTTTGTGCCTTTTTCGTACATATTTACTTTTGTCTGTATGTAATCTTCTCTTTATCTTTAGCCATTATCATAAAAAAGGTAAAAAGGGTTCCTTTGATGCAAACGCAGCGAAATTGTATACAAATGTAAATAAATCGTTCCTTGATGGACGGCTGCGTATTGTTGGGTCGTTCATTGTGCGCGAGTCGAGATAAAGATTTGATGGAACGAAATGATTCAACTTTCGGGAATGAGGCAAAAGTTTTCGGGTTGTTTTTTTTTTCACATTTTTTTTGTTGAGGACAGGAAACGTTTACGTTTTACATCAACGCGTTTCTTCAGGTGTAAATTTTATTTGTTAAGATTTGAGTCACGATTACTTTAAATCGCAAATCCATTGTGTTATATACAGTGTGTAAAAAAATATTTTTTGCATGCAGACGGACAAATTGAGAGCAAATTTGAACTTGTTTTGCGTAATTTGCTTTTAGGAAACTGAAAAAGTTTAAATGCAAAATCTTGTCCGACGATTGCGACACTATTAATTCCTAAACGTCGAAATGGACAAAGTTTGTTACAAGTTGCCGTTATCCGCTTGAGGAAAATGCAAAACGGGCGCGGCGCGGCGCCTCCGCCATCTCGCAGCGAACTTTAATTCTTTTGCGAAACTTTTATATTTTCTCCCGGCTCTATGAAAAATGACTGATAATGCAGGATGCAACTTAGAAAGTCGAAAGTTGAAGACACAGTTTACAACATTATTTTGTCATTATAATTATATTACTTTTATTATGAGCAAACTTGTTAGACTGTAAATAAAATTAGTGCATCCGCGCACATTATTTATATTTCACGTCCAAAGAGATTTATGTAATACGAATATTGCATCCAAGATTGAATGCAAAGTCGGTGCGGACGACGAGATAGATATACGAGCGCATTTCGACAAATCTTATCTCAAGAATATACCTACATGTGAAGAAATAAATTCATCGCTGCATATGGTGTGTAGGTGTGCGTGGAAATCTGCATTCGTATCTTTCAACTTTCCGTATGCGCCGCGTCGACGATTTGTATACGTAGTATAAATCATTTGGCTTTGTGCCTGCTACCTTTCTTCCAAGGCCTGAATGACAAAATGCATTCAAAGACAAAAATAACGAAATTTTTATTTTCATTTGAGAAAAAAAGCGCAAAAAAGATTCGGTCAATTAACACGATGATTTCGCTGTTGAAGTTAAATTCTACCTAATTCGTTACTTACCTTTTGTTGAATTTTTAATATCTGAATGTGTTGCTCGCCAAAAGGGTTGGTTTCTTTTTATAAGTGTAATAAAATTAAAACAATGATTTATTTTCATTATCGTCTATTAGTTACGTTCACAGTGACGTATAACGTCAATTACGCAACATCACATTGATTAATGATGCACATTTTTGGAACATGTATTTAAAAAAAAGTCTAATAATTGCTTCAAAGCTTGGAGAGAGTTCATTTTTTAGAGAGCTACATATAATTCAGGGTGTCTGCACAAATGACGGTTCAAATTTATCATCAAATTATGTTATTTTTAGAACTTTTTTTTGCAAAAAAAAAGTTTTTTTGACGTGATAACGTCTTTAAAATCGTTTTAGTCGGGTGACATGTTCAGAAACTTGTCACGAGGCCTCCGATCGCAGGTATAACGAGAGAGAGAGAGAGAGACGGACCGATCTCCCGTCTCATCTCGAGCGCTGCCAGTCATTCCGTGAAACTTGACACGCGGAATCCACACGAGCGGAGGCAGGCATAGTGTTCGAGTGAGTGGACCGATCTTCCGTCTCTCTCACTCTAGCGGCATACAAACGAATGGAGATTTTCTCGTGCGGTTAAGTTTTCGTTGAATATTTAACAGTGAAACAAAATGTGAAGTGCAAGTGAAGTGTTACAACAATTGCAACAAAAAAAATTATATCACCAATAAGACGTTATCACGTAAACATCTCGATCGTAAACTTACTTTACAAACAACCATTTTTTTAACAAAATGCAAATTTTATATATTAACTAAGAATATTTACATCGGAAAACGTAAATACTTACTTAATGCTTCAAAGTATCACTTTTAACACCCAAAAATGTAATATTTACTATTTTTATAACCATTTTTTATAAAATTTTGCAAAAAAATTAAATTTTTCCTTTTAACACAAAAATATTTTGCAACACCCTGTATAACATTTGAAGTCTCCAATTTTAAGTCTATCATTAAACATCACAATTATAAATAAATATTTATATCTTTATATATTTATCTTCATTTGGCTGATTTTAATACTATCTATCTACAAACATACAATTAATTTTTGGTAGAATTATTGTAGATAGTTTTTTTCACTTACAATATACACGACTTACATTTAATTACCATCGTATTTGTTGGTGACACGTATAATAAATAAGTGCAATATTCTTCCCCATGTTATAATAATCTTTTTTTACACCAATACAGATAGTTTTGTTTCATTTATAAAATGAAAATATATAGCTATCAATAATAATAAATACTCTCTACATTTGATTAGATTGTCAACATGTTTACATGTAATTTTTTATAATTTTTATATAACATTGACAATTTTTCTTGTTTTGGTGAGGAATGTTTTCATCAAATTTACTTGATTGTTTTATTCTTAACATTAAGAATACTGCTGATTAATTTTAGTGTTTAAACTTAAACACATTGATTAAATGAGGTGGTGAAAAATTGAAAAAACTTACTCGTGAAGAAATTCGGATTTTTACATCAAAGGTTTTGATTTTTTCTGTTTTGCGGTGCTTATCTAACAATCATGGTCTTGATAGGTGTCTTTATGTTCTCGGAAATTGGCTGACGGTGTCCTTGTGACAACCATGTAGGATGTATCCGTCGATGCAGGTGTTAATAACGGTGTGCCTTGTAGACTGATGGCGAGGGGTAGTGCTGATGGAGTGCAGAGACTCGCCGCGCCGCGGTTCTCGTTCACGGACCTATATCTAACAGGTCTCGATAGCCTAAAGTGCGTACAAAATAAAACTATTAAATAAAATGCATGCAAATAAATAAAAATACGATAACTAGAAATTGCAAATTATTTAGTTACCTTTGACATTTGCAAAGCAATAGTCTGATGAACGCAGCGCGGAACGTACGATTGAAGACGGTGTAGATGATGGGGTTGATTGTCGAGCTGACGTAGCCCAGCCACAAGCAGACGACGACCACGTGGTCGGGCACGTCGCATTTTGGGCACGCAGCAAAGAGAATGTTGAGGATGAAGAAAGGCGCCCAGCAAAGGACAAATGTGAAGAAAACCAGACCCAATACTTTGGATGCTTTTTGTTCGGTTGCGACTGAATTTACGGCGAGGTTTTTACGTTTTGTCACTCGACCTGTCAATAATCTGTAAAATTTCAAGACTTGTTAGCATATTCTGCTGATGATGACTGTATCGTTTGAGAATTTTTCGTGCGCGAGTAATATGATAAGATGCACATTATTTTCACTTCGATGAGTTTATCGCTGATTATTTCTCTACAGTGGATCTGATTTGGTTTGTTGCGAATTTTTCCGGTATTCTCGATTAGGATATCTGGGTGCAGTGAATTATGCGTTAAGCATATTGTGTAATATAGAAACTTATGGTACGACTATTTGTCCGCCAGTATTTAATGCGCTAGTTAATGCACTTTACGTGCCAATTATTTTAAATGATCCGTTTTACTAATATGGATATATAAACGATAAATTTATCTATATTATATATCTACTATATAAAAATGAATCGCAAATTGTGTTGGTAAGCGCATAACTCAACAACGAGTAGACCAATTTGGCCAATTCTTTTTTTAAAGTGTTCGTTAAAGTCCAAGGATGGTTTTTACAGCGAGAAAATATCGAATAATTGCCCGGAAAATCCTACAAACAGCCCTTTTCTATAGGATAAGAGTTGGCATTGAAATTCAATCATAGTAATAGTTAAAGAGTTGAATCAGAGATGGCACGCTGAAGTGCATTATTAGCAATTATTTATATAATTAATTTCTTTAAAATAAAATTGCGAATCTTATTGATAGAATTAACACATACTATGTCTAGAACAAGAGAGTAAAATCGAATTACATTTTTATTAAAAGGCGAAGTCGCAGGGAAAAGCTAGTATACCTACTCATAAAACAGAGTTGTGTTAGTTACAACATTCATAAGTTTAGAATTACTGGATAGATTTTAATGATTTATGATTTGTTGGATTCCTTTCCACCCTGAATAGCAGTATAACTGTTAAAATATTGACAATTATGCTTTAAAGTGTGTTAAATAAGGGATAGTTATAGTTCAACAATTGTGTGCCTTAGATGGCGCGAAAATGCATTTTTAACAATTTTCATATCTTTCAAATAAAATTGCCAATTTTATTGCCAGAATTTACATATTTCCGGTTCAATACCCAAAAAATAAATATAAGTTTAATTTCATAAATATTTGTGGAATATAATTTTGTTGTCACAATACTGGGGACAAATATTGGCGCAGAAATTGCCGAAAACCTAGGATATCTATCACTGTAACAAATTTAGTTGATATTTATTTTGACATGTTTGAAAGAAAGTCATTCACTTGAACTTTACAGTTTGGAAAATTTGATTTCTTGGTTGCTGGGTTATTAAGCAGCAACCCTGGCCATAACTTACTGGACGATATAATTGCAAAGGTTTTCGAAGAGATTGGGAGTTCGGGAAGCACCTGAAAATGCCCACCCAGAGCAACGAATCTGGTATTAAGTTGAGATTAGTTTCGCGTAATATCCGAGACTGTAATCTCGGCCCGTCCATCGCCGACCTCGGCGACCCCGAGGCGACCTCTCCCACTCTCTCTGGGGCTTCATTTCGGAAGCGGATCACATTTCGGATCAGGATCACGACAGATCAGTACATTTCGAACAAATCATTTTTAGCTACTTGCACGAGATCCACCCTTCCAACAATATGTAGATTTATTTCGGGGTAATATTTGAGGTGTTGGAAGATAATTTGAGTGCCACATCGAAAAGATCACAAGATGATGACGAGTGTAACTGACACGTGCCTGCGGTGGCGGCTTGGTGGAGTCCAAGTATTTGCATGCGGATAACGAGCGTAACGACGTTATTAGGCCTGCGGATGTGAAAAGCGACCTTTTCCTCGCGTGCGCACCTCAAAATGAGAAAAGTTGGTCCAATTTGAACCACTACATAGTTTGACCCGAACCGTGATACATACTTGAAGCTTTTAGTATAGTTGTACATCACAACCGCATTTGATGACAATTCTTATTCTATACGTCGTGGCTTTTTTTTGTTTTATGTTTGTTTGGAGAATGTCAAATCGTTTAAAGCAAACGGGTTGTTTCATTCGTTTTGAGTGATGATGATGATGACGGCTCTTTATAATGGCCGAAATTATGGCGGCGTGAAACGCTGAAATATCGTACAGGCCGGGAACAAACGAGTTTGAAATGTCAGTCGGAGCGTGAAAAGTCGAAACAATTGCATCGTGCGTTTGTTTCAAAGCTCATTTTAAAGTTTTGTTTGCTCAGCTTTGGTATTCTATTCGAAAATAGGCTTTTTCTATGTGTAAGATTTTATTTGTAAAGAGAAGGTCAAATCATATAATCAAATCTTAAGTTGTTATAGAGTTTCTATGTATTTTCACATGTAGGTGAAAATCCTTAATGTGGGATGAAACCCTTTTTTGTTGGATAAATATATTTCGTCCGAGAGACACTTTCAGTTATTTATTTAACGTATATATAACATTTTTGATACAAAATAAATAAATTTTAATTTTTTGACTGTATAATGAAAACCAAAACCCAAAATTAAAGTAAACATTTAGCTTTTGCATCAATTGCAATTATTTAAATACTAGCTTTTGCCCGTGACTTCATTGCCGTTGTATTTAATAAACGATTATATTAATTTTATAAGAAATACTAATAATGTAATGAAGCGCCATCTCGGATTCAATTATTTAACTATAACTACGATTGAATCTCGATACCAAGTTTCATTCCTTATTTAATACTCATTGCGTAACAATTTTTAATATTTTAATAGTTATTCTGCTATTTGAGACGCGGACAAATCCAACAAATAATAGATTATCAAAATCTGTCCAGCTGTTCTTGAGTTATAAATGTTGTAACTAATGCACATTAGTTTTATATGTAGATTTTTATGAATTCTTTTCCAAAACAAAATTTTTTTTTTAATTTAAAACTTTTTTAAATTCACTAATTTCTATTCCGACAAAATCAAAAACTTTGATGACTATTCATCACCAGATGGCGTAACACTCAAAATTTTGTCCAATAATGGATAAAACTAAATTAAATTAGTTTAATACGATAATAATTACTTTAAGACGACATTTGTTGCTGACAGCGTACGATGTCACCTACTATTAGCTTCTCATATTTTATTTAATGAAACTTGACTGCAAAAAAAGTCCTATTTATCTAATCCAAACTAAAAGTAACAATCATAAATCACGTCGTTGAGTTTACAGCTGAAAGCTATTCACTAATTAAATTCACTCACTTCAAACAGTTATAAATGTTAGTTGCGACTTTTTTCTGTAACGCGTGATTTATGTGAATCTAAAATTTTAATTGAAACTACAAATTCAGCAAATATTTGCGGAAAAAGACACAAGTAATGTATGTGTGTTGTGCCCGTATGTATGTTTGAATATTCCAGCCGGTATTCTGGAGTTGTTGTCGTCGTGCCGCGTTAATTTCGGTGGAAAACCGTCCGGAAAATTACTTTTTACGTCGACGCCGTCGCCGCCTCCGCATGAACAATTTTCGCGTGCAGTCGCCCATTCTTTTTTTGCGCCGTTTGAATGCCAACATATCGCATCATGACTTTCTTTGAGCTCCCGTCTACTCATGTATCTTGAATTGCCTATATTTAGGCTAAAAATATTCAACTTAATTGAATTGTTATTGCTCTTACCGAGAAAAGATACTTATAAAATCATTACACGATTATTCCCTAAAATAAATTGGTAAAAAAGTTTTTGTTTAATTTAAATTTTAATTAAAACCGAAGTTTGCTCATCGTTTAAGCTGTGTCGCAAGCTTAATGTTACAAAAACAAATTCGCAAACAAGACGACGCTGTGATTTTTAGATTTTCGGTGTGGGAGTTTGTAGGGTGTGTTTGAAGCGTTGGAATGTCCAATGTCGACACGCTGGAGTCTAATTAATCTAATTCTCACCTGAAATTCAAGTTCGATGGCACGCTGTTGAGCTGCAGTTTGAGTGAGCGTAGGTTAAAGTTACGTGTCTCTCTGGCGATATTCTCCGGTGTCTGTGTGCCTTGATCACGGTGTCCTCCACCACCACCGCCGCCCCCACACTCCGCTCATTGTTCCCGGACGATAGCGACGTGCCGCCGCCGTTGGTATACGATAATTGTGGATTTGATGCCGACATTCGCATATTGTTTGATCTAAACGACACAAAAAATTATTATTATCATAGTATAATTTTTTTTCTATATAAAAAAATATGAGTAAAGTTTTTACCTGTCTGAGAGATTTCCACCGCCTGCGGTACGCCACATTGTGTGCGTAGATATAGCCGACGCCGACGATGGGGTGGCGGGCTGTTGATGATGATGTGGATGCTGGTGCTTGGCCATGAAACGTCCCGGCAGGCGTCGGAACTGATCCGCTTCGGGGTGTTCGGCAGCGAAGCGCGCTTTCTTGCGTAGCAGCTGCACGGTGAGGGCGTAAGTCACCACCATCACCACCATCGGCACATAGAAAGCCACCAACGAGCCAAACACGAAGAAGGCTCGATTGTTGATGACACACATATCCGGTTGAGGCATAATATTTTTATGATTAATTATTCCTACACCCCAGAAACATTCAAGTTAATTTAACAACTATTAACTAATAGATGGCGTTAGTAGAGTAAGCGGTTTACCTAATACTGTGATTGAGCTAGAGACTAACATCGAGAGCAGCCAGACTAGAGCGATGCGTTGCACGACCGTACGCGTGGTGAAGCTGTGCCGCGTCTTGAGCGGATTCCGGATGCCGAGGTAGCGATCGAGGCTTATAAAACACATGTGCATTATGGACGCTGAACACGCCAGCACGTCGCACGTCACGTACACATTACACCAGATCACGCCAAATGGCCAATAACCTGTAACATACAACATAAAACACTTTTAAACTATTCGACACCAGATGGCGTGACTGCAAAGTTGGTTAAAGTACAAAGCTAATTTAATGCCCGGGTGATAAAATCGAGTTGACTTGAGAGTTGAAGTTCGCTTTTGTTACGCTTTATTCTGCAATTACATCCCACTCGTAGGAAAATGATGCGGAATGTTGGAGATGAATGTAAATCGACACGGGTACGTGACTTTGTGTGCCATTCGTCATCTTGCGACGCACGCGAACGTCTTTGAGATGCAATTGCACTCGCGGCGCGCGAAACGCGCGGAAAAACGAAGTGGTTAGTCACTCGGCATTTCGAAAGCTTTTCACGATTCGTGCGCGCTACGGTTTCATTTCCTTTGTGCAATCTTTCATCGTGCGGCTGTGTGTGATTCACTTTCGTAACTTTTTACTAAACGCATTATAAACTATAGTGCCTTAGTAGGCTTTTTTAATTTTCCTCCGGGGATTTGATTCTGCGTGCTTTTTGGTAACCGACACGAAATTAATATGCGTCGCGAAGCCTCGCAGCCGAGGTGGTTAATAAGCCGACGCCGCTACTAATGATATTAAGAGGTCCGTACCGACCGCGGCACGTTTCGACGCATACATCCCCAAAATGCAAAAGTTGCCACTAACTGTGGTGCTATTTGTGGAAACACCCTGTATATTAATGTGTTACATACTTGACGCTCTTGGATGTCATGCATGCTGCATATTTTAGTCGTTAGCTTGTGCATTCAAGACGCGCCCGTTCCGACAACATGGAGGGTTTAACTTGGTCAAAATTCATCTCAAAATGTTTTATTTTTGAAAATTTTTTAAAAAACTTCTTGAATTATTCGTTTGTTTGGAGTATTGTTATCTTTAGATAAAAAGAAGATTTTCGATAGTTTACGTTAGTGCTTTGTTCTTTTTTGCACTGGAATCTTGGAAAGTGTCTCTTACTGGTGGAAAAATTTATGGGTGGTGGATTAAGTTGTTCGGAAACTAATCGCAACAAATCGTCGTGTTAGAAAAGTCATTGCCAAAAGCGATTTTCAACCGCATTATACAAGGTATTAAAATTTCGCCCAACGAAATAATTCGGTAATAAAAAAGTTGAAATATTTAGCGAAAGTTTGCCTGAGTTTATAACCAAATTTTATTTTTATGCGTTGTTGGCTTCATCCGGAACTCAAGTTGAGAAGCAATCTGCTCGTTTATATTGTCGGTGACGCGTTGCGATGTAAATTTTTGGCAGCGTAATGCAAAAGTGCATTTCACAAAAAAGTACTGTAAGTTCGCTCGCAGCCGGAATTGCAGGCGACTTAGGTTGGAATTTACGTATTGAGAAAACAGCCCCATGCGGAATAATTTCCGTCGGTGGGATTTGCTTCGACGTTTCGTTCTCTTGGAGAGCTCGCTTTACAAGTTTCATGCTTTTAAAATAAGTTTGGATTTTTTTTTCGGCTTCATGGAGAAAGGATGAATTAATTTGCAACATTTTGCTTTTTATTATCCTTTGTGGGCGGGTTTTAAGAGAATTTATTTGAGGAGGTTCTTTTCGTGTGTTTTTTTGTCTTTTCTTACGCACGTGTCCTTAAGTGACGCATTGTGCTGGATAGTCCTGCGTCGTGTGTCTTTACAAGACTCCCTTGACATTTGTCCGCGCCAGGAACACGCACGCTGCGCATCCTTCAATTTGTGCTTCCTCATTGCGTTGATTTTGTTTTCGTTTTATTTTTTTGCGCTCGCAGCGCTTGATCGCATTTCGGTACTTTTTTCGACAATTTTGATCGTTTGGTTTGCTTTGGCCCGCTTCTATCCGCGTGGAACGGCGGAATGTTTGTGGTTTTTGGGGCGGCGGCGGTGCGGAAACGTGAAATCGGAATATTGGAATATTGGAATATTATTAAATCGGCTTGGTTCTCTTCCCCCGCCCTTCTTGCCGCGCGCAAGCCGCCACCCGCACTCTTGTAAGTTCCAGTCTTGTTCGGACAGCTTGCGAGCTTTTGCAGGCAAATCGAATTAACGCCAGCCAAACAGATGATTCTTGAGGGAGCAGGCGCGCGAATAATTTAATTTTCATCGCCCCGAAAATGCCAAAAACGCCAAAAACATTCCGGAAAAAGCCGGCGATGAATATGAAAGTAAACGAATTGCGAAATCATTGCAATATCACAACGCACCGAGCGAGTAAGTTAAAGGATGTAAATAGATTTTCTCGATTAGATTAGCACAAAGGAGATTTTCATTAAAATAAAATAAAAAACACCAAAATCAATAACAAATTAATTATTCTACTGGTGTGGATTTACGCAGTTCGTGCGAATAATTTATTGTTGCAAATGAATTTTAGTGATTTATTTGATTGTGTGTGTTACATTTTAATGGAATGTGGAGAAAACAACCAAAAACACATGTTGGATATTGGTGATTAAAATCAGGCCCGCATTAACTCGATTAATTTCATTTAGCTTGCCCAAAACTTTTGTTCTTACTTAATACGCAATATATATTTAATTAATACGTAAATTTAAATTGTGCCTCAATTGGTAATTTGTTTAAATCACTTAGTCCGATTCTGTTAATATTGCTGCTTGAGGATATTACCAAAATAAATAATAATTGATTGTGTAAACTTGTAATGAATAGTCACGATGAAATGGATATACATCGGAAAGTGGAAAATAAATCATCGCGATTTGATTTATAAAGATATCGTTCCTGAACACTCTCCGATATTAATATTATTGTCGATTCTCGCGATTATCAATATTCTCAACAGTCTCACAATATTGCAGATATTAATATACACTTTCTCAGGTTGAGTAAAATATTATTTGCGGCTATGAATAATAACGGTATAAAATTCAAAGGAGTCTTGTTTCTAAGTACCTATTTAATTAATTACGAAGAGACGCAAAGTGTTTGAATAAATGTTGTTTTATCATTATTTTCTCATATTAATTTGCAATTAGCACTGTTACAAAGGTCACTTAGTGGTAAAAAATGTTCAAAAATCAGTGAATATTATATTTAATTTTTTTAAAGAGAGATGTGTTAGTTACAGCAGTTATAACTTTAGAACCTCTGGATATATTTTGATGATCTATGATTGATTGAATTTCTCTCCGTTCTGAATTGCATAATAACTATTAAAATATGGAAAATTGTGATTTGAAAGCTGCTAAATAAGAGATAAAAGTTGATGTAGAAATTCAATCATAGCTATAATTAAATAATTGAATCCGAGATGGCACTAAAGTACATAAATTGCATTTCGTATTTCTTTAAAATAAAAATGGATGATGTGATGTATTGATGAAATTTTAATACCTTGAATAAATTTGATTATATTTTTATTAAAATTTACCAGGACGAAGTCGCGAGTAAAAGCTAGCAAATAATATTACATAATGTTTTACTTTATATGATCTATTAATTTACTAAGGAAATCAAAACGCAATTAATTATTATTTCTTTAAAAAGTATTTTAAACGTCACAATCACAATTTTTGTTTTTGAATTAATCAATCAAATATCAACAAAAAAGCTGTTTTTGTCAGGTCAGTATAGACCTTTAGTGTATGTTATTGTACCCAAATTTTATAAAAAAAGAACTGAAATTTGTTTTTCTCTGGTGTGTCACTATACCAAAAATATTCACAAAAAATATTCCGGGAGATCAGTCAGTATGGGTGAGTTTGAACGGATAATGCGCTTAAAAAAAAAAGAAGCGCACAAAAAAAAATGCCGAAAACAACGCGAAAAATCGCGGCCGCACAAAAAAGTTTATAAATTCGCGCGTTATTTGTCAACCGGTCGGATAACAAGCGCACAATCATGCGCGCGTAACAAGGGTATCAGCCCTTGTAAGGGTTCTTGCACAAATTGCATCCATTTTTTTGGAATACATTTTTTTAGTTTTTAGTTCTATAATTTCATTATGTTGTGATGTTGTTTAAAATGCAACTTTTAATTATATTCACTGACAATATCTTGAAAGAGCGTTGAATTTTTTTTAATTTTTCATGCAATTTTCAAAAAATCGAGTTACTTTTAAGTAAAGAGCAAACCATTGAATATCATTTTAGGTATTATTGAATAAGAGTATTCAAACTGACTACAACAAAATACAACTTTTTAAGAAAAGAATATGTTTTTCTTTACTAAATTGCGTGTTACCGATTTTTTCGTTGAATGGAGCTTAAAAATATCAGAGAAAATAGATTTTCTAATTTGCAAGGTGTCCCTAGAGGGAATTTAAAAATACAATACTTTTTCGTCTGCGATGACAGGAAAGGAATATTAAACAGTTTAATCTGTAGGTCTTATGCTTCTGAAGGTACAGTTCAATTCAATTGTTCTCTAATAAAATACACAAGTCTGTTTCCAAGAAAACTGTAATATCTACGAAAGTATAAAATGCACCGCGCTGGTAAATATACTGCATCCTTGAGATATTTATTCCCGATCTCAATTGAAAAGCAAATCAAAGCAGGAAGAAACGCTTCTTCTTTAAATGTTACTTATAAAGCAGACCTACACTATTTTAGCCATGAAAATGTATTGAATTTTAATATACTTATCAATAAAATACCACAAGTTAAATTTTCTCCGAAATGTATTACCTGCTATTTATAAAGTATTAAATATATAATATGAAGTGAATAAATGTATAATTCTTAAACGAAGTATCATAAAACGTTTGCAAAATGAATGAGCACAAATAACACACAGTTGAAATACCGCCGAGGTAGATGAGTAGGTAGGTTGAAATGTGAAACGAATTTAAATAATGATTCGGTTCGGGGGTGATTCTCTGCAGCTTGCTGTGTGGCGTAATGTTTTTATAAACTGCCCTTTTGCTGCTTTATTTATCGCGCGACGAGAAAGTCTCTCGACCTCCTGACGCAAGAGCAGAGATTTATATATTTATATGTTTTGCGTTGTGCTTTTTGGCTTGATGTGCGGATTTTCGTACGCAAACTGCGCCAA